CTATAGAAATGGGACTAGTTTTCGAAGAAGAGGATTAGGACTAGTAAACATCCCAAAAGGTAAACATCATATGTGCTTTCACTTATTAGATGCTGGGATTATAAATGTAGGTAGAAAGTGGCCCCTATTATGTAATAATTCACTCACCTAATTTGAATATGTAATTTTAAAATATCTTCCAATCTTCACCATTTTAAAAATCATTTATGATAATCAGGGTTTTGTTTTGTTTTCAATCTAGTTTTAATTCTATGGCTAAGCTTCTTTACATTTATTTCTTTTTCTTTTTTTTATTTTTTTAAGATTTTATTTATTTATTTGAGAGAGAGAATGAGATAGAGAGAGCATGAGAGGGGGGAGGGCCAGAGGGAGAAGCAGACTCCCTGCTGAGCAGGGAGCCCGATGCGGGACTCGATCCAGGGACTCCAGGATCATGACCTGAGCCGAAGGCAGTCGCTTAACCAACTGAGCCACCCAGGCGCCCATTTATTTCTTTTTCAACTTAAGTGTTTTGCCTTTTGTCCCTGCTTGAGATCTTTGATTCCTTAGTAACAAAACTTTTTTTTTTAAGTTTATTTTTTGTTCTACCAAGGATAGCTTACTATTTGTAGTTATTTTTAACTGGGATGCTGTGTCTAGCAATTTTGGTAACTTCTGCCGTACTGTTTTTCTCAAAATTATCTGACTTTGCAAAAAATTTTTAAAGATGAACAGAATTACCTTTTGCAATGCCACATTTTAAGCATTTTTGGAGATAATCCATTATTAACTGTGCTCTCTATACTAAGCAAAATGACTCATCTGAACTAATGACTTGATGATGTGTGTATTTCTTCCATATTTTCAGTTTCTTTGCATTTCATAATTTTTATATTTTTCTCCTTCAATTCTGATGTAATTTAAATATGTTATGAGATAAACTAAATCATTTTCTCTTTCTTAGTTAAGTAATTTCTGACAGTTAATCTTCCCAGTCTCAACCATGGTTCTTTTGAGGAAAAAGGAAATAAATTACACTTAGGTTACACCTGTGGACAATAAACTATTTAAATCAAGCCATCTCCATCATTAATATCCATCACCCTGGCCATCGACTCTAGATCTTGTAATATGTGATAAATGGCTAAATTTACGGGATTGGGCATGTTGCAGTTTCATTGCTTCCACTATTCAGACATGTCCTCAAATTATGGCAATATGCGTGAAATGACAGCCTTCCTTAATGACTGATGGGGATGGTCTCATCATGGTTCTGGCCACTGTGATGAGCATCAATCACAAAGACAGCCAAAGATGTCAAATCTGCTGAGATGCTCTTTAATCCTGTGATCCTAGAAAGTCACAACTGTCAGCACAGATCCAAGCAATTGTCCAGCTCGATGGTCCCTAACCTTTTCCAGTTAGAAGAATGTATTATACCAGAAAACATTGTTGAAGAATTCCACTTCTTCATACATACAATAGCCCTAACCAGGCACATTGTCACAAAGACCCTTTGAGATGTTTTGCATTTTGCACTGCCTTAACTAACCCCTCTTCTCTGAGAACTGCTCCCACATCTACAGAGGTGGTACTTTGTGCTATATTTGAAGTCAGAAATATTTGTAAATGAAATTTTGATTTTCAAAGTATCATAACACTTACTTATTCCAAAAAAAGTGTGAAACATACTATTTATTCAGTCAATAGATAGTGCTTATTTTGTTTTAAACAAGATAAGAACCACTGATCTAGAAAATGTACTCTTTATAAAACCCACTCTTACCTTAATGATTCAGGTAATTGAGGGAGAAGTTTTGTTTTGTCATTTTATTCATTTTTTTTTTTTTAAAGATTTTATTTATTTGACAGAGAGAGCACAAGCAGACAGAGAGAGAGGGAGAAGCAGGTTCCCTGCTGAGCAAGGAGCCTGATGTGGGACTCGATCCCAGGACCCTGGGATCATGACCTGGGCCGAAGGCAGCCGCTTAACCGACTGAGCCACCCAGGCGTCCCTTGTCATTTTATTCTTTACTCAACATTATTGATTGACTTGGTTCTCTAATTCACCTGCACAGCCAAAGCCTGTGATTTTATAGAAAACCATGTCTAAGGTATCACAATTACTCTCTCATGATTCAGGTAGGGTAAAATTATGAGTGTGTTTCCCTAAGGTGCAGTAAAATAGTTTATTTATTACTACTTCCTCAATGTCTCACTCACAGGTGGTTAGATTTTGAAAGATTATTAACTGGGCTTGTGTAGGCAAGTGCAACAATTTGACTTCAGGAAGGCATCATCTGAGCCAGCCTCCCTTCTGCTAGGGCCCAAGGATATTATTTACAGAAATAAACCATTGTATTATGCTTAATACATTCTTAGAACATTTATACATACACTATATCAAATTTTCCTGTTTCTCTGTTGTATGAGTTCATTAAAAAATTTGCCCACATTATTCTGTCCCTCAATTCCATTAGGCTTTTCAAATTCCTACAGTGGCTTCCTAATCTATCAATTTTGTACTTCTTACCAAATGAGAGCTCACACTTCCTTCACAATTGGACTGAAACCTTATTTCGTCCAAGACCTTTTCACAATATATTGCATTTGATTTTGCATTTCCTCTAGAGACGTCCTAAGATTTCAAATGTCCTATCATTGGTGGTGGGGGGAGGGTTGGGGAGGTAATAACATAGGTATCATGTTTATATATTCTGTTTGAACTGCTTGATGGGCTGTGAGATATATGTAATTGCTGTTACTTCCTTATTTCACAGATGTGTGTCTGTGCTTGTTCCTCTCTCTGCATCTTTTTTTTTTAATTTTTTTATTCTTATATTATTCCCATACATTACATCATTAGTTTTAGATGTATCCATGATTCATTGTTTGTGCATAACACCCAGTGCTCCATGCAGAACGTGCCCTCTTTAATACCCATCACCAGGCTAACCCATCCCCCCACCCCCCTCCCCTCTAGAACCCTCAGTTTGTTTCTCAGAGTCCATCGTCTCTCATGGTTCGTCTACCCCTCCGATTTCCCCCCCTTCATTCTTCCCCTCCTGCTACCTTCTTCTTCTTCTTCTTCTTTTTTTCTTAACATATATTGCATTATTTGTTTCAGAGGTACAGATCTGAGGTTCCTCAAAAAGTTGAAAATAGAGCTACCCTACGACCCTCTCTCTGCATCTTGATAATGCTTTGCTTGAGCCTGAGGCAAAGTGGCCTATATGTTTTTTGTTTTTTGTTTCAATTCCGCCAGATGGAGCTCAGTACCATTTATCACTGTTGACTAAGCAACTAATAATATTTTTGCTAATGAAGAGTGGTGATACATTTTGCAGTTTGCTCATTCACTAATTTACCCATTAAAAATTATTTATTGATCACCTCCTGGGTGCCTGGCACTGTGCAAGCGCCTGGGAAGCAATGACAGAAGAGAGAAACAGTTCTAGACCAAGGAGTCTGTTCAAAGCACTTGAATCCTGATGTTTTCCAGGATCATTCCAACACTCACATGTTAGCCAGAGAGATTATAGAGTATCCGTAGCCTTGTCTCCCTTGCTTTTCTCAGTACCCTATTTATTCATGTTAACACAGTGAAGAAACATGTAGATTATAGTAACGGTGAGAAATCCATGAATTTTCAGAGGGAACTGAATGGTGGATCACATATTCATTGTCTTGACCTTGGAGCAGGTCAGAATAGACACAGAGGAAAGGAATGCTACCTGCTGCCAACTATTGTTAAGAGAGTACAATGTGAGATTCACCCCCAGAGTACTGGTTGATGTATTGCCCTAAAATCTCTAGACATGCCAGTCATAAGTAATATGTCAGATAAATATCTCAACAATAAATATATTTGAAATCATACTTGTCAGAGAAAAGCTTAAGAGAACTATATATGCTTCTTTAACTTAATCATTCTGGCTTTCTGTTTTAGAGGTTGACGATATCATTATTAATATTTACCGTTAATTGCTTATGCATATTATTTGAACACCAGCATAGGCTTACAAATGTGGTGTTTTTAATGACAAAGATAATGATAACTGAATTGGTGATTAAAAATACACTATAAGCTTAGCACCTTCATAAAAATCCCAAAGCTCTTTACAAAAGCAATAGAACAATGAACTAAAATAACAGCTGTGCTAATCATAAGCTAGTTAAAAAAGATAACACTTAGGAGTTTAGGGTCTTTTCAAGCCCATAAATTAAAAGACGCAAAGTTTCATGCTCATCAAGGCTATTTTTAGAATTTGTTAATGGAAGATGGTATATAATAGGTAACTTAATATACAAGTGAAATGGCTCTTAAGTTGAAATGGGGTAAAATATCATGTATATGTCTGAGGACTTTTATTTTACTTTAATAACCAAAATTGTCAATTAACCAGATTTTTTTTAACATTTACCTTGCAAAAGGAAAAGGTAGATCACAAGAAAATAAGCTTATAATAGTCCTCTTTAATCTAAATCCTCTATACCTTCTAGATTTCACAATAACCATACTATTCATTATGATGGTCTGAGATACTACAGAATTTTAGTTGCCAGGTACTTGACTATATTCACTGTGCTTCACTTAGTTCAGCTACAAAATCAGGCAGAATTTCAGTAAAGTGGCACTACCTACTGTATTAAGTAGTATCTAAGCAGGATACTACTCACATTGTAAGGTTACTGCAAACAAGGGATTCATGAGCACACTCTAAGAAGTCAGATTCCAAATGATGAATCACTAAATTCTACCTCTGAAACTAATAATACAGTGTATGTTAATATAAAAAAATTAAAAATAAATACTGTACTGAAAGTGAAAAACAGAAAAAGAAAGTCAGATTCCATGTGTAGACTGCTAGGCCCCTAAATAAACCAAAAAAAAGGGGCACCTGGGTGGCTCGGTCAGTTGAGCTTCTTCCTTTGGCTCAGGTCGTGATCCCAAGGTCCTGGGATCAAGTCCCGCATCGGTCTCCCTGCTCAGCGGGAAGTCTGCTACTCCCACTCCCGCTCCCCCTGCTTGTGCGCTCTCCTTCTCGCTCTGATAAATACATACATACATACATACATACATACATACATAAAATCAATCTTAAAAAAAAGAAGCGAAAGAAAGCAGGCCCCTCATTAATGTAATGTATTATGTTAATTTGTGAGGGCGGCCTAACAAAATACCACAGACTAAGTGGCTCAAACAACAGAAATTTTCTCCCGTTCTAGAGGCTGCAGGTACAAGCTCAGGGTGTCGGCAGGTTGGTCTTCTGAGGCTTACCAAATGGCGACTTTTTACTGTGTCCTCACACAGAGCATGCTTTCCTCTGTGCATGTGCATTCCTGGTGTCTCTCTTTGTGTCCAAATCTCCTCCTGTTACAAAAACACCAGTCAGACTAGATTAGGGCTCACACTAATGGCCTCATTTTAACGTGATTACCTCTTCAAAGGCCCTATCTACCAAATGCAGTCGCATTCTGAGGTACTGGGGGTTAGGGCTTCAACATACCAACGTGGAGGGATACAATTCAGCTAACCACATGTTTTGTAGTAGAGTGAACTATGTTCCTTCAATAGATATGTCCACTCGGAACTTCTCAATGTGACCTGATTGGGAATAAGGATCTTTGCAAATGTAATTTGGTAAAGATCTCCAAATGAGATCATCCCAAATTAGAGTGGACCACAAAGCCAATGACATATATCCTTATAAGCAACAGAAAAGGAGAAGACACACAGAGCCACAGAAAGGAAGGCCATGTGAAAACAGAGACAGAGAGACTGGAGAGATATGTCTACAGGTCAATGATTACCAAAGAATGCTGGCAGCCATGGAAGCTAGGAGAGAAACATGGAAAGGATTCTCCCTCAGGGTCTCCAGAAGAAGCCAGCCATGCCGACAGCTTAATTTTGGATTTTTTACCTCCAGAACTGTGAAAGAATAAATTTCTGTTGTTTGAAGACACTCAGCTTGTGATCATTTGTTGCAGCAGCCACGGGAAATGAATACCGATATTGGTATAGGGAAATAATAAAACTACCAGGTACTGATGACTTCCATGTGCAAGGCCCTATCCTATGTATATATCATCCCTTAAATCCTCTCATCATCTATGTGAGATGGGTACTATTTTATCCATTTTACAGTGGAGACACTGAGGCTTAAAGAGGTATAAGTAAACTTCCCAGGGAGGCACAGATGGTAAATGTCAAAGCCAGAATTCAAACTGATATCGGTTTGACTCGGCGTTGTGGTCATTCCATCATGTTGCATCAAACTGATAGGTAAGAGTATCTTGGAGCTATAATGAATTAAAGATTTTGTGCTGAAAGCGCTCAATTTATTGAGTTTAGGCAGTGACCCATGGAGGCAGTTATAGAGAAAGACAAGAGACAGGCAGAAGAGGTATCATAGGGAATTGATATTGATAGGGAATATTGTAGGGAACGCCTTGCCCGAGCATCATCCCAAAACTAAGGCAAAGGAATGAGGTCACCTTCTCTTCTAACCATGCTATATCAGTTGGGGTTCCTATGCTTTATTTCCTCCCTCAAAGCTCTGCTGAACTCAATATCACCTACAGTTCACTGTTGGGCGAGAATGTGTTCTTCCTTGACGTGGGTCTAAGAGGCCATATTCAGTTTGCAATCTTGGCTTTCTCTTATACCCAGATCTCTGTGCTTAGTAACCTCAGTCTGATTCTTAGTTGCTTCTTCAGTGTTCTGGACTCTGCATATCATGAACAGAGTAGAAGTGGTCACTGAGGACAAATTTATCAGGAATAAAGATGAGATAGCAGCTGGAGTTTAATGTGAACATTCTTGCCCCATTCATTTATAAGATTTTGTTCTTCTCCACTAATAGCCCGGAGAAGCCTCCCTCAATCCCAATCCCTCACCCAGACTCCAACTGATGACTTGTCATGTTGATGGAGCCGGTTTTTCTAACTTGTAAGTCTGAACCATTAAACAGGAAATATTTCCGTAGCTCAGATATTTTCATGTATTTACATACTTTGAGTCCATAGAATACGTTCATTTTCCATTTCTTCAAGAGCCTGTGATACTGTCAACATGATCTGAGTCCACAAACAGAAGCTGACTAAACAACAAGCAGGATACCAGCCATGGAGCTTCTAGAGTCATCCTGGCAAGTGGAACCTTTCAGGTCTGACCTTTAAAATTAAAACAATGTATATGTTTGTATTTATAGTTGCAAAATGAGAAGATGTCCAAATTCACAACCCCAAATATGTTTAACCCATAGAATATTATTGTTGAAATTATCGAACTATCCTTTGATTCGCTGGATACAACTAAAGACTTGAGAACAAACTGAAACCCAGGTTAGAATTCAAAATTTGAAACCGACTGCTAAGACAGATCATGGTGGCCTCAGCACTCAATTTAAATAAGTAATTATGTCATAAACAAACTCTATATATCCTACAATGCAGGAAATGTATCAATGTTGCCTAAGTATGTCTTTAGCGTGCCCTAAAATTCAGCAGGACCTAGATTTAGGTCAAGATTGAATGCTGAGGGCACCTGGGTGGCTCAGTTGGTTAAGCGACTGCCTTCGGCTCAGGTCATGATCCTGGAGTCCCGGGATCGAGTCCCGCATCGGGCTCCGTGCTCGGCAGGGAGTCTGCTTCTCCCTCTGACCTTCCCCCCCTCTCTCAAATAAATTAAAAAAATCTAAAAAAAAAAAAAAAAAAGAGAGAAAAAAAACTGTGAGGAAAGAGGAAGCAAACATAAAAAAAAAAGATTGAATGCTGAGCTAACTTATAAACAATATACCAACCAGTGTCTCCCTTACCCAAGGTCCTAATTCTCATGACTAGAAGAATGACAGATTCTCTGAGCTAGCCCTTACTCTTCTATAGTAGTTTCTAGCATGATAGTAGCTGTTGAAGAAGCTCTTCAGTCTCAGTCTGATTCTCCATCAGAAGCAATAGTCCAACACAAGGAAGGTCAATGAAAAAGCAGAGTGGAAAATGAAATCTTCCCACGCATTCCTAGGTGTAGCTCTACCGGTTTAGGAACCTAGAACTAAAAGTGAGAGATTAGTGTTCACCATCAGAACCTTATAGAAAAAGTAGGTAGGCGAGACACAAAGGGGTTGCCATAGCAGCTACAGATGCAAAAGGGACCCCACCAAGTGCAGCAGACTATGCTTGCTCTTTACCTGGCAGTTTAACCTTTCTGCATTCTACACAGTGAGCCTGAGCTGTGGTGTGACTTTTCTACCCCTGTTTTCCTGATGCAGTCTGGTATTCTAACACCTGTGTTTTTTACCTCATTTCCCTTGTGCTCTCTTAGCCTTACCTCAGGCCCTGACCTCTGTGTTCTTCTAGCACCCTTAACCTGGTGACCTAAGTGATCATTTCTCAAGATTCTATCTTCACAACAATTAACCTGGTTATAGAGCCCAGCAAGACTTGGGCTACTTCTATCACTCCTTCCAGTGGGTGCTTCTCTATACCTGCTGCCCCAGGGACCAGTGACCTAGTGTCCTCCTGATAATGCTGGTGTTTTCCTTTTGGAATAATAAGCCCAAGAGAAAGAGCTTCACCCAAAAACAAAAAACAAAACAACAACAAAAAGTTTTGTGCTGGCAACTGCAGACAAGGCAATCTATTCGGCGTGATTCAACCCAGCAAAGTAAGCCTGGCAGACAGAAAACAAAACAAAACAAAACCACCACTTCACACAACAAGAGTTGAATTAATTAACTCAGTTACCCTAGGACAACCTTACTTGTTGAGAGGGCAGTCTCTCAAGTCAGATTGCGGGGTTCCATCCCTGGCTCTACCACTTGCTGCATAACCTTAGACAAATTTTTTAACTGATTAGTGCCTCAGTTTCCCCATCTGTGAAAAGGAGATAGATGTGTTGGGAGCCTGAAAATGAAATCATTTATGTAAACATCTTCAAAAGTGCTGGTACATAGCTAGTGCTCAATAAATTATGAGTGCTTTGATAGAGTCCATCAACCTATTTCCTCTGCCTTAGACACAAAACCATGAGCTCACTCGAGAAAATGCCCTGGCCTGAAACACTGAGAAGGAGCCAGGGTAAGGAAGGCCTTGTAACTGTTTATATTAGGATGTAATATAAACTAATTTCTTTCTACCCCAGCCCAGCCCTGTGGGCTGAGAAAAATCGAAAAAGAGCCTAAATTGTTCATGATGAACAATAAATATTGATTGATAAATAAAGGAGGTAAGTGAAGTGGGAGATACTCACCTCAGCAGAGGCCCTATAAATATCAAGCTTAGACTCACCCACCCTGCCTGGCAAGCAAGACTCCATGACACTTCCAGTGTCTCTCAACAGAGGAACTCTTGGCGGTGAAGTCACTTTAAAGAAAAGAGTGTGGTTCATGTGTTTTTCTTCCAAATAATTCTCTGACAAAATTCTTATTATGCAGTTTCCATCCATTTAAACAAGGGTTTATTAAATGCTACCGAATACATAGCACTATTGGATACATATCCACTTTAAAAGGGTTATTTGAATAAGAACAAAGCACAGTGAATTTCTGGCATCCTTGAATATGATTTCTAGTCTATTTAATAGCCATGTCTGAGGTGGCATCTTATTTTTGAGCTCTGAGTGGTTGTCATTCATACAATATAGCTTAAAATATTTTTTTCTTCCTTTTTTTTTTTTTTTTACTTTTTGTTATTTTGTGAACCTAAGTCAAACTCTGGCATGGCAGTATTTCTAATACAGCTTCAATGCCTTTTGGTCTGAATGACTGCCCTGAATAACCCTAACAAAATTGAGACAAGCACATGATTATTCAGACAAGATATGGAGTCCAGACATATACAGGGAAATAATTTTAAAGGTTTGAGCCCCCATAGTGCTTACTGTTTGTACTGTACAGACTTGCCACTTGGCACTCCAACCAACGTTCACATTTAGTATTTGAAAGTGAAACCACTTGGTGGGTTTTCTCCTCTATATCCCCTCCCTGGATGAGCTATCTAGAGGGTCAGCTGCCATGAACAGAAGTGGGGCATTTTTGAGAAGAGATAGGCATGCAATATAGCAAAAAGGATGAAAGGTTCAGTTCTCAAAGAGATAATAGGGAAGGAGGATCAAAACCTGCAAATTGAGTGTGGAAAAGCAGAGTGATGGATTATAGAACAGAATGGAGAAAGACATGGTTAAAAGTTTCTATTACCACAGAAAGAAAGGCTTCAAATGGAAAAAAATATATATTATAAACAGGAATGTTATGTTTTCAGTACACGGAATGGTCTTACCCCCCTTTTGTATATTATAGGCTAGAGGCTAATCTCAGGTGAAGATGAGACAAGGGAATTCTAAGAGAAGTGACAGGTTATAGAATAAAGGTAAAGAAAATTACAGTGAAATGAAGTTGAAGAGTGAGGCCACAATAGATACAGAAAATGGGAAAAAAGGAATCAGTGATAAAGAAAAGTATATTATAAGGAAAAGAAAAGCATACAAAAATAATTTTATGATTTCCTTTGAATTTAGAGTCATCTTACTTTTAGAAAACAGACCTTTTGTGCAGTATATTTTAGCATTTTGAGTACTAACCACTAAGATACTGAAATTTTGTTCAGGGAGATGTAGTCTTTGAGTTTCAAGATCCATATCCTTAGAACAACTTTAACAAAGTAATGATCATACTCAGAACATGATAATTAGATACATTCAATTAAATTTCATTGAGAGTTACCTTTACTTCTCACAAGACTTGTGATCTTTTGCACTTAAAATTTAAAGGTGCATGTGAAGTCTACACAAACCTACCCACTTTTTCTCTGAAATCTAACACACTACTGCCCCTAACTGAATTCTCCTTAGAAGCTGCATTTTTCTAAGTAAGAAAAATCAACTGAAGACAACTTTTAAATATGTCTAACCAAGAAGACTGCAATATTCAATCAAGTTAATATTATCAGTGTGGTGATTATTTGAATATCTTTGATGTCAAAGCCATGCCTCAGAATTTCAAAATTCACTTCACTTTGAAATCAAAGTATACATGAGTTTTTCCTACTGTAATATAAAATATATATATTAAATTTTTATCAAAAAATTGAACACACAAAAGGAAAGTGCAAACTTTACCAAGGATTTTGATAAAAACTTAATTTGTTTTCAAATATCTTATTATCTATGAAATATATAAAACATAAGCTAACTGTGAATGTGGTATATATTTGACTATTTGTATGGCAAAAGACTGCTGGTATACACTAGCATGTCCATTTTTAAAAGGCAGAAGTATGTATTATAATTTTTAAAAATTGAACCAGGATTTGGAAACCTATGTTTTAACCTCAATCCTGCTTTTGTCTACTAGCTATGCCACTTGTTTAACTTTTCTCTTTTTTTCTGTGAAAAACATCTTTTTTTTATTTTTATTTTTTATTGAAATAGAGTTGACATAAAACTTTTTTCTCTTTTAAACTGGGAATAATATGTTTCCTACCTAGTTTGTTGAACATAGAAAGGTAGTTTTAAAACAAATCTATAAAAACATATGAAACATAATTTCATTATTTAACTGTAATTTCCTTAGGGGTCATAAACAACTTCACTCACTAAACGTTTGTTATCCAATATATGGCTCTCTCTCTTTTCTTCAAATTGTCACACTCTTGGACTCTTCTTTTACTAGTAGAAAAGGTAGGAAAAGGAAGGGAGAGATGAAAACATTTTACTTTATTTTATTATCATGATTTAAACTATTCTAGTTGAAGCTTTTGAGGGAAATGACATTGAATTCAATACTTAAAGCACGTGTTTGATGTCTTATGTGTACCTTTTGACTTTGAATGGTATCATGTGAAGAGTGAGGAATGGAAGCAAAGACTGCAACAAAAAATAACTTGTTCCATAAATGAATACACCAGAAAATAGATATTTTACTGCTAGGATCGTTATTATCATTCCAGGCTCTGGTGTAGTAGAGGATCTGGGATATTTATTATATGAATGAATGTCTCTATCTTTGCAAGAAAAAAAATAATTTCTATTCTTCTTATACCTAATTATTTGCCATGGAGTTATTCTTACCACAAATTTTTCTCTGTCCCCATGTAATTGCTTTTCCCGGGGTTTCTAAATTAGGATTTGTTGCCATTTTATCAAATGTAGGACCTATAGTCATCTCTTAACTTGTTTGGCAAGTTCAGTGGTAACACTTATTTCTTCTCCTTAATCAGGAGGTGAGATTTCCAGAAGCATCTCAAAGACAGAGGGACAAGGCTTAGAGAATTAAAAAAAAAAAAAAAAAAAGGGCACTGTCCTTGCAAAGAGTGATGTAAGAGGCAAGGAGGTTAAGAGACAAAACTGAACAAATGAGTTTGGGGAGAAAGCTAGGCTTTTTATAGGGTAAAAGGAAACAGAAGTACTTTCGGCCAGCCTAATGAAGGGTTTTGAAATTGAGGGTCCTTAGAGGAAACCTGGAATTAGAACAAGTTAAAAAAGTAAAGAATGTAGGGAGTGAATGGAGAGGGCTTGTTTGTCTAGAGTTGGTGCCTTAATAGAAAAATGGCAGGCCAGCAGCAATGCTACAGCTGATAAATTGGCATGTGTAAGAATGGGGACAGGAAAGCACAGTGCTAATAACAGTTAGAGATTTTTTTTTAAAGGAGCACATGAACTAATCCAAAGGAGCTACTTAAAATTACAGTTTGCTCTTTTTTCTCTCTCTCTCAGAATTGTTTAAAGAGAAGAGGGAGAGGAAAAGGGAAGGTGTAATTTATAGGATGTACCTTAGGAACTATTATTAGAAGAATAAAAAAGAGAACTACTGGCAAATGTAAGTGCATTAGAAATGCAGTAATTAAAAGGTTCTACAAGAAAAAAGGAAAATCAGAGCTAACAGTCTTCTATTAACCTACTGTGATTTATAACTCACACTCTACTTTTTTCTTCTAGTACAAGTTCTCTGTTACTGTGTATAATATCCACATGCAATTTTCTGTTGTGGTAACCTATATTGGTTGTAGTGAGTGGATCTTAATTTGTTTTTAATGTGCCTCTAGTTCATCAGCTTCAATTTCAGGGGAAAATTTCTCTGTGCTTCGAATAGCACTCAGTGTTGCTACTCTGTATTTGCAACTGATGTCTATTTGGTAATACAACAGTTATCAGTAAATGAGAAGAAACAATGAAATATGTTACAACATTGAAGGAAAGGACAAGGATAGATATAACTGGTGATGAAGTATATTCTGGAAAAACTGAGATGGTATGAAATGTTGGGAAGTGGGAAAAGATACATTAAAGATAAATCTAGAAAATAAAGTGAGAATAAGATAAACGCAAAGAGTGTGATGAATCATTTCTTAAGGAAATTAACCTAAATTCCTGATGGATGGTTAAGCATTCTCTGAACACATGAAAGCACTTGTGTTCTAAATGTTAAACTAAGATATGCTGAAAATTTCATGAGAAATCAATACCTATTAAAATGCTGAGCATGTTTGGCAATATTCTAAACATTAAGAGCATTATCCCATTTAAAATACTTCTAAATTATATAAGTAGGAACTAATATATTCCATATGAAAACCTGATGTACAGAAATATGAAGAAACTTGCCCAAAGTCACACAAGTAGTTAAGTGGCAGAGATTTCAAATACAGGTTGAGTT